CTGTACATTCATGTACGGACATCTGAGGTGACTAGCTGATCGCCCTACTTTCTGTATTCCTTGTGAGGTCCTTTCCAGACCTACTTTCCCATGATCCTATAAATGCGTCATCTAAATGTTGATACAAAATCCCATATGGCTTTCAATCATGTAATCGTTTTTAATAATCCTTGTATTAGGATTATATTTATTTTTATTATTGTAAAAGCTTTGCTGTTGTTAAATAAAATTCTGGGAGTAGAGTGTTCAGACTTTCAATTATCTGAAAATCCTTTTGTGTCTTTTGTTTGTGGATTGTTTATTTAAGTTTTTTTTCAGAGACACTTGAATTATTTGTTGAACAGTTTGCCTTTGACACTGGGGATGCAATAGTGAAATATAACTAGAAGAATAGCTGCAGATGTTACTACTTTTGTCACTCAAGTTTGTTATGATCTTTTATTGGCATACATTGTTTTTCTAACTTGCGCAGAACTTTGCATTCATAACATTACTTTTGGATCGGCTGGGAGTTTTATCACTTATTACAGCAATAAATGTAAACAATGAATGCTGATACATGAAGAGAGCAGTGTTCAGATTGAGTAGTATAAATCATGCTGGCTTACACAGGGCTTAATAGCAGAATGGAAGGTGTTTAGTTTACAAAAATTACATTCCTAAAGTGTGTAGACATGAAGAACTGAACTTGTTTGTTTTTTTTAAGTGTTATTTGTCACAAATATTATTTCATGTACTAAAAATAATATTTGGGAGGAAAAGTAGTGATTTTTTTTCATAATCCCATTTTTCTCTGTTAATAAATATAACAAAAAAAATCAGTATCTTCCTTTTAAATAAAGATTGATACTTTAAAAAACATTAATCTATTGCTTACTGAAGAAATATTGAGAAGACCACAAAATGGCCTTATTCCAAAATTCTGGTTCTCAGAAGTCTTACCTCCAGTTTGCCTTGAAACTTAGAGTTCAGCAGCATCCATGTTAACCAGTGTTTTTAACCTCAGAGATTCTTACTCTGGACACTTTGTGAAGAATTGTAACACACACGTAAATATTTATATGCTTTCAGGGTTCAAGTCTTATTAGAAGTAAATCCAAACAGAAACTGACTTTTATGTATAGAAATACATGATATGTTACTATTTCTCCCTTTCTTTATTTTTCTCATAAGTTTGTAAATCTTTAGAGCTAAGGAAATATTATACGAGATGTACCTCCTGGGAAAGATAAGAGAACACTGAAGTTTTTAATTTCCTAACATTTTTCATCTTATTTTTAATCTTTTTCTACAAACACAACAGATCAATTCCCTTCCTAATCTGAGAAGATTTACATCTATAAGTATTTATTATGGGGGAAATGACCTGAAGGTAGGCTAGGAATTGCAATTTTTATAATTGACTTTTGGTGGTCTTTGGTTGATTGAAAACAAATCCCAAGGCATAGATGCATAATGTCACCTTCCCAGCAGCTTTGATTATATTGCATTGACTACTCCTGTTATTTTTTCTGATACATCTTTACTTTCTCAGTGTGTGAAAGCCTGTCACTTTAAAAAGAAAGAAATGTTCTAGGAGGAAATATAATACTTTGGCAGAAACTTACAGAAATCACATAGGAAGAACATATAAGGTTCATTACTTTGATTGCATCTTGGAAGCAAAATGTTTTTCCTCTCAGAAAATAATTTTTGTTCTTTCCCGTTGTCGTCTTATTTGTGTTGCAGCACTACGTATCCTGAAAGATTGCAAAGCACTCTCTAGTAGCTGCATATTGCACCTTCAAAATGTAGCCAGTAAGGCCAAAAGTAGTATAGATTTATATTCTAAGACTGGCAAGCACTTATTCCTCCAAGCCATATATCATGAAAATGTATTATTGGTAGTATTAGGCAGTAGAAGTAAGAAGGCAGTGTAAGTAGATCATCCAACAATTTTGCCCAAAGTAGAGAATAGTAATTATAACCAGTTACTGATGCTAACACCTACTCACTGAGGCATATGTCATTCTTGAAACATGGTATCCTATGTCATTTATTCAAAAGTAAAAAATGTCAAGCAAATGATTTTAGCTAATGACACAGAGACAGCCACACACATTCATGTTTCTAGGCTGTTACAAAGAGGCTAGGAAATCTGGGTTGTTCTAAAGGTACTGCAATTGCAGTTACATATTTGGGCTTTAATAGAATCTCCAAGAATGTGTTTGTGAGAGGAGGTGGTTTATACAGTTTACTTGTGTAAGTATCTGTCTAAACTTGGGTGAGACAAAATTTTAAGAAGTTTAGCTGCAAAAAGGAAATAACAGAAATAGTTAGATCTAAGGTGGAATATGTTATTGAAGATGAAATGAAATGTTTGATTGACCATTGCTGATTATGCTGTAATTTCAGTGGGTAAGAATGCTTGTGTAAGTCATTAGATTGTGAGGTAAGAATAACTTGTGTCTCCCACTAATGCAAAACCTCAGTCTTTCTGTCTGTTGAACAATAAAAAGGAGATTACAATTCTCAACTGAATAGGAGAGAGTTGTATGGTGCAGATTTACAGTACCTATAGCTGATCAAAGGCAGTCCTTATCAGGAATAACATGTTGATATCAAATTACAGTGTTGCCCTCTACTGGCATCTGCTGAAAGCTGTTAAGCATCTATTCATCAAAAACCATAAACACCGTGATTAATTTCTGAAGGATGTTATTTAATAGATTTCAGACCAGCTCTAAGTCATCTCCTGAAAGCAAAGAACTCCTTCTATAAAAAGAGTGGGGGCAGCACTTAGCTGTCATCACTTTTCTGGTTACAAACCTCTACAAACTTTACCTTCAGAATACAAAGCCTAAAACATAAAAATGTCAGCTGGATTAATTAAATGTTTCAGTATCTGATAGTGTTCCAGACCTTACGGCATGGGTTAAAGACATCAGGGGTCACAGGAGATAATGTCGTATTTCAAGCAGATGCAGAAAAGTAAAGACAGTATTCCACAACAAACTTGTAAAAAAAATCCATGTATTAGTCCTTAATGAGGTAAGACAAGGCAGTCCTCACACATGTGAGTAAAATCCAAGGCTACACATGTTGCAACAATACCTAGTGGATCAACCATAGTACTCTTTAAAGAGCAATTTCTTTCATCTGACTCCAGCAGAGGCTTTTGTAGAATTGTAACTTTTTTTTGTAAGTTTTTGTCCAGGGACAAAGAATCTGATATCTTTTTGTTAAAGCAGTTCAGGAGGAGCACCTCAAACTGGTGAAGACTGGAAAAAGGAAATGTGTCTGCTTTGCTCTAAGTCCAGATGAATGTCCCCATAGTTGGGGAGGCAGGAAGCCCTCAGGGTTAATTCTCTCTATGACCTTTAGCCAACCAGTTGTGAGTTTTCACATCTGTAAAGTAGAGATAAGTTTACTTGCTTACCTACTTTACAGGATTGAATTAAGGGACAATTACTGTTTGTACAGCTCTTGAAACATGCCAAAGTTTTGGATATGTGCAGCTGCTTTTATCAACACAATTAGTTCTGCATTGACTGGCAGAAGAAGTTTTATTGTTTAACTTGCATTTGCAAATAAGGGTTTGTTATACAGTTAACAGCTTACATAGCTGGAACAGGCTCTATTAGGTTAAATAGAAAACAGTTATGTAATATTAATTTATCAAACCATACTTTTGTAATGGAAACAATCTGATTTTCTTCATAAAGCTTATATGTACAGAAAGACTAGATCCCAAATTCAGATGCCCATATGTGAAAAAATAAATCTTACTTCAGAAATTATGAAGCTTTATTCTTATTCACAAAATATGAAACTACCTTATAAATTCCTAGCTTGGTAGGAATTCCTGGTAGATTTGAATATACCAAGCTCTTGAGTTCCACTGGTTGGTGACCACTGCACTAGTGTATCTTGATCCACCGGTAGATCTTGGAGCCTCTTGCGGTAGATCTCAGAGCCTCTTGGAGTCAATCCGAGGCTGGGGTGGGAGGCTGAGTGCTCATGTGCATACATGCCCCAGCCCAGCAGGTCAGTCCATGGGGGAGGAAAGGGACGGGGGCCAGGGTGAGGCCCCTGCAGTGAGGGACAGTGCTGCAGGGGAGGAGCGGGGGTAAGATGAGTGGGGCCCCGACAATATGGGACTTACCTGCTGGGGAGGCACGCCCTCCAAATAATTTTTTTCTCCTTCTGCCTCGATCTGCACCCCCTTTCCCTCCTGCCAGACTTGCCTGCTGGGGGGAAGGGGGTGGCGGCAACGTATAGTAGATCTTAGGTTGCTTTAAAATGCCAAAGGTGATCTCCTACTTCAAAAGGTTGGAGACCACTGCACTAGTGGTAATAGGAGTAACTTAAATTAGAATGAACAGAAACAATCCTGATTTATGCTGATTTTAAGAGGCTAATCGTATGAGGTACAGAATGTGAAAGGCTGAGTGAGCTTGATGTGAGGTGCTGATACATCCAGTAAGTCACTAGGCATGTCACAAAAGTTGTTGAAACTGTGGTGGAGCAAATTTTACTAGAATATATTTAGTTAAATGAATAGAAGCAATAGGAGTAGGTTTTCTCATTAAAATGCATGGTGAGACCCAGATGGCTCAAGTGATGAAATGAGGAAATTGTCTCTTGCTACTGACTGACCATAAAAGTGACCATATATTAACTATGGTAGAATTCATGCCGACACAGATGTTACAGGACCACAGGGTTTAAAAAAATAATCTTTCTCTGTACATTTGTATTGTTTAAAGAAAAAATCAAGCAGCTAAAAATGCTATCTCAATCCAGCTCAAATGATGCCCCAACCAATCTTTTGTCCTTTCTCTGTGGTTTCCTCAGTGCTCAGATCTCTTTGTTTCTGTCTGAACTGAACGTGAACATTAGGCCAGAAAAATGTGCCTCCTTTTGATAGTTAACCCATGCTGTGAAAACTTGATGTACTAAGGTAGTGCTTCCTTTCACCAGCCCATATTTGTGGATTTTGATGCTTATCTTATTTTCAGGTGAGCGTCCCTACCAGTGCCCTTACTGTGACAAAGCTTTCAGCAAGAATGATGGATTAAAGATGCACATTCGTACTCATACGAGGGTAAGCGTGGGTTCATTTCTTTTAGTTGCCACTTGAGAACTGTGATTGTCCATGAGAACTGAACAGAAAAATATGTTATTGCTGTTTCAACAAAAATACTATTTGCCCTTCAATATATTAGGTGTAAAAGGCTTACTCTGTTTATCATTTTAGAATTGTAATTCTGGTTCCTGCATTAACTTGCTGTGTGACCCTGGACAAATCATTTCACTTTTTTTTCTGTGCTTAGCTTCCCTTATATAAAAAGGGATAATTATTATTCCTACATATCTTATAAGGTTGTTTTGATATATTAATTAATGTTTGACATCAATTAATTAAATAAAAATTCTATAATATTACAAGTTCTCTAAATGCCCCATTTTTGTTGTCTGTTTCTTACTTCTACTGCCTAGTTTGAAGTCAAAGCCTTGACATGTATGTTTTCTAAGACCAAAGGCCAGAACCTAGTCAGTTCTTCCTGCCCCTCCCACTCTTGTGCCCCTCTACTAGAAGGGATGGAAGGCCATCCTAAACAGGTAGGTATGAATTCCCCTTGCATAGGTGGAAAGCCAGCAGAGATGACTCTAAGCTACCTGCCTCTGGCCATAAGTAGCACATTGCGCTCATATCCTAGCTCTTCCCATGGCAGGTCATTACTGCTGCCATAACTTAAAACAGATTTCCATGTCCCTGCTTGGTACTCCAAATAGGACTTAAACATGGTGCCCAAAAACACTGGTTTTCAGGTCAGTTGTAGTTCTATGCAGCACTTCCTGGTGGTTCATAGAGAGCTGACTGTTCCCATGATGTTTTCAGTTCCTCCCTATTCCCAGCTGCTAAATGACTTTAGAAGTACTAAAAATGCCCATCTTCATTCTGTTCTAAAAATATCTGAGGGCCATTACAGACAGGATGGAGATGGGCTTTTCTCTTTGGCCATAGGGCATAGGAGTAGGAGAAGCTACATCTTGAGGGGAAATTTAGGTTGGAGATTAGGAGGAACTTTCTGACTATGAGAGTGATCAAGCATTGAGACAGGCTACATAGAGAAATTGTGGAATTTCCATCCTTGGGAGTTTTCAAGATAGGTTAGACAAATGCTTGTTTGGTATGGTTTGCTCTCAGGGATGATCCTGCCTTGATCATCTAATTGATGAATTAGATGATCTTGTGAGGTCCTTTCCAGCCCTGCATTCCATGATGTCACTTTGCTATATGAGGCAAGTACTGCAGGAAAGCTTTATAGTGCTGAATATTAAGGAAACATAATCCGCTAGATAAATTATCTGTTAAAACACAGGGGTTAGCATGCTACTTTGATTAAAATATTATAAATAATATAAGAATGAAACAAACAGGTCAGACCATTAGGGCTGTACCTCCACTGAAGTTAGGGGAACTGTGTATGATGTTTTATACCAGAGAGGCCTAAAATGTATCTTTTCCCAATAATATAGAACTTTACAAATTAATTCATTACAAACTTTAGATTAAATGACAGCACTTAAGGGATAGACAAACACTACATTTCTAGTGGGAGAGATGCCACTCTCGAATTAAAATTGGGAGTATACAGGCATGCCTGAAATGTTTCCTAAAGGCAACATGCTAGATTCAGGCAAAAGATTTTTGTCTTTCAACCAGGAAGGTCTCCCCTGCATTGGAGCTTCTCACCTGTATGTTTCTCACCTTGATGCCTCCTGGGGACTGGGAAGAGTCAAGTGGCACAGAAAGGCTCCCTGTGCATTACCCACATTGAGGTGACCTTGTTTGGGGGAGGTGAAGGGAGCAGGAGAGAGAGGTCAGCTGCAGTCTGGAACACCTGTATGCTCTCTTTCTCAAGAAGGTTTCTAGCACTAGAAATGTTTAGTGCTAGAAATGAACACCCTCAGTATACTGGGAGTTGGACCAGGTGATCTTTGAGGTCCCTTCCAACCCCATGATTCCATGCTATGGCAGCTATCTAGATCATAAAGGGCTTAATCTGGCCTAAGAATTTCATTGGCATTGAAAAAAGTGTTTTAAATTTAATTTTGAAAAGAAATATTACATGATAACATACAAAATTGGGGGTATTTAAGCACTCACAGGTGCATGTTGTATCCAGTGTCAAGAAAACAGGTTGTTTTAGAGACATAGAAGCTTTAATTTGCCAGAAATTGAATGTTGCTCTTTTGAGAAGTAAGTTTTCATGGTAGTTCTCTCTTCTGCTACTTAAACATTGAAACAGCCATAATAGCACACCTTTACAGGGATTTTATACATACATGTCAGTCTGACAGATTGTTATTGCCTCTTTTTTAAAAGTCGTTGCTTACATGTATTTCCATATGTCTTTCCACATTGCCACTGTTACATGTAAACAAAATACCTTTGAGTGGTTTGAAAACACTTGTATGAAATGGGACTTAATGAAAGACCAATTAAGGATTTATGCTCATAAGAGGACATGAGGAAAAAGAAAATCATTCAAATTCTGTTTCTACATGACAGAACCATAATTTAGCCAAACATGACAATTATTCACTCAGCAGTAGGACTTACTAAACATAAAACCAACAGCCACAGTTCAGCAATAACTGCACTTTACAACATGAACATTGCATGCTGCTAAAGGATGCAATGAAGTTTAATGTTAAAAATAGCTTGAATAGAATGTTGCTTTGTAATAAGACAACTATTTAATCAGTATATTATCAGCTCAGCAGCAATGAACTCAGTATTTCCACATACACTCAACTGGTACCATAAGAATATGGCAATTTCAATACATTTGAGATGTAGCACCTCTCTAGTAAGGAGATGTGATGTCATATCTGTCTTCTTTTGTGTGAAGAAAAGAATACAAATCCATGCAGCTGTCTTACAGATAATTAAAAGTATGCAGAAATTCACAGAGTCTGTTTTTGTTGTTATCATGTTTATATATAGTTCATCCCATAATTCTAAAGACTATAAGTACGTTTTTTAATGAGCGGGTGGCATTTTATATAAACTAACACCTGAATAGTGATCTTTCATTTCAAAATGGTGGTCAGTATTGGCATGTTACTAGCTGGTTTTGTTTCAACAAGCTTATTTCTACTTCCTTGCACCACAAATCTGTGTTTGCAATCAAGTGGTAGAAAAATTAATTTCCGTAAGGTGAAAATGTTTGAAAGTAACCCAATAATACAAGACACATGCTATTAACTGTGCGAACTCTTATGGTAATATTTATAAATTCGTTAAGGCTAGAAACAGCCATACTGTCATCTACTCTGAATTTTTTCATAATGTAGACCACAGAATTTTACTGCGTAATTTCAGCATCTCATAACTTCCTGCTGAGCAAGAGTATATCTTTTAGAAAGATATTCAGTCTTCATTTTAAAGAGGCCAAGTGATGAATAATACACCCTCAGCTCTAGGTAAATTATTCTTCCAGCTAATTACACCTACAGTTATTACATTTACTTATGCCAGATTTTTAAACTCAAAGTGACTTAATTTAGACAACACTTAAAAACTATGATTGTCTCAATGACATGCCTTTAAAGATTAAGAGAAACTTTGAACCATTCAATATTTTATTAATATTTTAATATTGAAGAAACCCCTTTTGATTTCTATATGGCGCACACAGCAAAATCTGCTCTGAATGGTAATCCTCCCCCTTATTTCAAATGTATTCAGATCAGGATAAAACATTGGGTCTTATTTGTTTTTTCTTAATTTGGATATTTGATCTCTTTTTGCAAAATTTTACACAAATTTGCACACACACACCCTCATATCTGTCATGTCCTAATTGTGCTCCTTAAACTACTGAAAAGGAGGTGCACAAGTGAAAGAGAACACTGGAAAAGGAAGAGTTACACATAGTTGAAAGGGACCGAGGCAGAAGGAAGAGAGAAAATTCTAAAAGTTAAATGAAATGAACTAAAATAATTACTGACAAAAATATTAAAATGTATATGGAATGCCATTATTAAAAGAACTCATTGGGTGCCCATCGCTGGGATAGCCTGCTGCTTTTCAGGACTGAAGTTGTAAATAATTAATATCTCGTTAAGGATTCAGTTACATTAGATCATAATCTGTGGAATGTTAAGCAATGTTAAATTTAGAACGTAACATGAGCAGTTGCATGTTAAGGATTAATATTGTTTCTTAATTGCACAGTTCTGACTACAGAGTGGATGAACTGGGGCATGGTTAGAAGCCAGGACACTATTCCTGCTCTGGGTGGGGGAGAGATGGTAGCAATGTATCTGGGGAGGACTTGCTCATTTTTATTTCTGTGGAAAAGAATGAACCGGACCTTGTTGTGCATCCACAGGTGCATCTCACGTAGAGCCAGGGAGGTGATCC